CCTCTTGACTCTTTCATCCTCTCTGGACTCTCTCTGTCCTCTCACATCTCTGCAGGCTCGTCAGTCCCCTCCTGCTCCCTGGCTAAATGACGCACTGCGTGCTAATAGAACCATCCTTCGGGCAGCTGTTAGTGATTCTTGAACCCCGAGAGCAGGAGAGACTGAAAAGAGTCAAGGCAAGCTTATAAAAGTTAACAGCATTTAATTACACAAAAGATGCGGTGGTATACAAATGAAATGTGCACGTTGGTGGTTTCCCCTGCCAGCTGTTTGGTCCCGTCCGCGCCGGGTCAGCTGGGGGCAAAGAGAGCGAGATCCTTCTTGTGTCTCCCGGGTCTGAACTGTAGTCTTCTCCCATTGGCCGGCGTCGACGGGGGCGTGTCCAATGCAAATCCTGTCGGTTTCTGCTGCTGAATTACATCACTCTGATGTCTGTGGTCATCTAAACATTCCCTAATAAACCTCATTCCAGCGTCAATAAATGAGTGTTAAACTCAGGGTGTTTAGTGTACAACATCACGTTATTTCACCTTCAATTCACGGTTTGAAAACGTAGCATTTCGCCACAAGCTAATGCTAACCGGAAATGACGAAATTCACCAGCGGAAAACCGGAAGTCACTTATGAATCTTCGGTTTTCAGAATAAAACAGATTTAAATTAAATACAGTGTATTTCATTCAAATTACGCCACATCAACATTGATTTTAATTTCTAACAATCCCTCCTTTCACACCTTTTAAGGTGTGAAAACACCTTTGTCGCCTGGCCTGGGCATCCGGGGCTTTAGCCCCGAATGTTTTTTCTGTAGCCCCGGACAATTCTCCCTCAATAATATAATACATTAACCGTGCTTTACGTGAACCTCATCATGACACAAGAGAGGACGGCAGCACTGTAATTTCCCGTGTTCAGTGAATGCAACAGAGGCATGACACCAGACCAATCAGAGAGTTGCATGGAAATAAACGTGTGCTTGGCTCTGTGGGTGTTTCTCAATCGCGAGTACGCTTGCTTGGTAGCACATGTCTGCCGAGCATCTTGCTTCAGAAGCGAGGCAAGAATACTTCCTGCCATTCGGAAAACAAAGAGTGGAACAGGCTAGCAAGTGTGCAGGTGTGCATCATATGAGAGGCCCCGCCTTACATCTTCCGCCACAGATTTGGGGAAATTGGTCCGTGCGCAAAGCATTGTGGGGATTTTAAGGCCGCGAAGTCTACTCATGTGCACACTCGATATTTCTCCAAACGGAGTACGCCGGGCTCGGTAGATTTCCAAGTATACTGGAGATTGGAACAGTACTTCGGCGGCACTCGATGACGTAGTATGCTTGAAATAGTGGCTCGGAAGCAGCTTTACTCGCGATTGAGAAACACCCCCTGTGTGTGTGTGTGGCAATAGCGCATTGTGTGATAGAGAGAGAGAGAGAGGGAGAGAGGGGGAGGGAGGGACCGTGTCAGCATGGACGTGTTGTTAGCATCTGGTTAGCTAGCTGCACTAACGGACATAAGGAGCTGTTTGTTCCACAAGAAGCTGGAGGAGAGTCCTCTCCTCTCAGACTGAGAGACTCAGGTGAGCTAAAGGACTCTCTGAGTGTTTAGATAGTTAACTTTAGTCTAAGTTATCTCAGTGGGTCTCAAACGGTTTGGTCACCAATTATTCAAAAGATTATTTCCGCGGCACACCTTCATATGATCATTATAGTTATTAAAAAAAAGAGAATAAAGGAAAAACAGTTATGAAATACTATATGGCAGTAAAACAAGAATAGAGTTTAAAAGGGGAGTGATTACTAAAATATCCATAAAGAAAAAGTACATCTGTTTACAGTTCTGCGTCATATGGGTGTTGAGAGAGGTATCCATAGATCTCTTCATTTTGCTCTCAAAGTGCACAAGATTGATGCATTTAACTTCAATATTTAAAAATAAATCTTCCCGGTGGAGCATCCCCCCGGGACCCCCCCCTAGAGGAGGTGAGCCACCCACTCATAAAAAATACCACTTTACCCCTGCCTATATGCCGTGAGCTGATTATCGAGCCTTCATTGTAACAGTCGCGGGTGTACTGTGTGTGTGTGCGTGTGGGGAGTGTTGCAGTAAAAAATGCCACCGTAGTGCCGCCGCCACTGTGGGCTAAGCCCCGAATGTTTTCAGGTCCAGGCGACGCCCCTGGTGAACACAACACTGAAATCAATGAGTTCTTCATAAGACTGCTTTTAAACTGACGGTATGTTTTAGACTAAATTATGCCATAAAACATTGATTTTAATTTCTAACACAGCTGAGCGGAAATGGTGTCAACACCCTGACAACCTCCTGACCTATCAATCTATCCTCTCCTCTTTCTCTTCTTCGATCTCTCAGGCAAAAAGCACTTTCTTTCAAGATAAGATCCATTCTTCCTATTCCAATCCCAAAAAACTATTCTCTATCTTCTCCACCCTCCTTGACCCCTCCCAGAGCTCCTTCCCCCTCCTCCCTTCTTCCAAGCGACTTTGTTAACTACTTTGAAAAAAAGGTTGATGATATTCGCTCTTCATTTTCCGACTCACCATTAGTCACCACTGGGTCACCAGTCCCACACTAACCTCCTTTTCCCCTCTCTCTCCAAGTGAGGTTCTTACCCTCATTACCTCTGCCCGTCCTACCACCTGTCCTCTGGACCCTATCCCCTCAAACCTCCTTCAGACTATCGCTCCTGATATTCTACCGTTTCTCACCCATCTCATCAATACTTCTCTAACTTCTGGTCACTTTCCAAACAGTCTCAAGGAGGCAAGAGTAAACCCTCTCCTAAAGAAACCCACTCTCAACCTGTCCGATGTTATAAACTACAGGCCTGTCTCTCTCCTCCCATTCCTGTCTTTAAACAACTCTCCTGTTATCTCCATCAGAACAACCTTCTTGATCCGCACCAGTTTGGTTTCAAGGCAAGTCACTCCACAGAAACTGCTCTCCTATACACAAACACAATAGCACAAACTTAATTTTCTATCATTGTAATCCAATCAGAAACAAGAACAATCCCAAACTTTAATATCCCTAGACTCAAACTTAGTCACTCACAGATGCAGTAACTGCAGACTGAATAAAACTATGTATATCTGAGGTCAAAAATAATCTTTTTTCTACACCTTCTATAAACAGTGGAGCAGAATAGGACATGTACAAAAGCAAAAATGCACCCCTCAATAACTATAAGCACCTCTTATCCTCGGTGACCATATGTTGTACAGTTTTATCAGCTTCCTCTTCAAAAAATGTGGCTGTCCACAGCATGCCTTGAATTTATTTCCCACGATTACAAGAAAATGCTTATTATTTATGATATAAAAGTATGTTAAACATTTTAACATATTTTTTTTATAGGTTGTAGTCTCTATCACCACTGCCTAGCATGAATGTGTAAGACGACAGCTCCATGTGTGCTCTGTGATTTATGGCAACAGCATCTGTTTGTGCGATAAATAAATCTCCTTTATTTACTTTAAACCAAATACATTTTCTGCGACATTCAATCTTTAGCATACTAAATTAAATACGTCTTGGAGTCCAGAAATGGTTAGTACTCGTAAGAGTCTAATGCAGTGTGTTAAATGATTTAGTTGATATTTAAATATTACTCCTGAAACACTGGTTATTAAAAAGCAGAGTCTTTTATAATTTTGTAATGTGTCAGTCTGCAAGAATTACCTATTTTACTTATACCTCCACTGTTTGATTATCGGATGACATGGAGCAGATGGCGAGTCGGTGCGATAGCAAAGCAAACACTGTCAGAGTTTGTACTCCTGCTGATTCCAGACAAGACTAGGAGCAGAAAGTCAATATGGTCACAACTGCTCAAATAAATCATTAATCAAACGCTTCAAAAGCAACACTTGCAGACACAGAGATAAAGAGAGGTTGTCTTGGACATCATAGGGGTTTTGTTTCAGGAATTAGCCTTTAGTGTTGAGGATTTTTCCAAAAAGTTGTACATGTAAGAGTAAGGGAGCTGGGATGTCATAACAAACGTGGTGAAAAAAGTGGGACTAACCTGCATCTTTCATCAAAACTGAACACAAATGCACACACACTGACACACACAAACATGTGAGGCCTGTAAACTGTACTGTATTCTGTAGCATTTTAGAGTCTAAAAAGGTCCGATTTACCCTTAAGGACTCAGACACACACATGCAAAAACACACGTCAGGCCAGCATTTCAAGTTCAGTATCATGTTTTTGTGCTTTTAATTGATTTGTGATAAATGCCAAATATTTCAAGAATGTTTTTCCTTGTATTATTTACACTGATTATCCTTGGGATTTGGAATTTAACCAAGTTTTTTGTGAATGTCATGTTTTGGTTGAATTGTAAACTGGGCATAGGTTGAAGCTCCGTGTTTTTGAGAGGAGAACAAATGGAAAGAGAGGACATGATGAAATTGTTTGCTCAGAGAGTAACTTTGACCTTGTGGTGATTGTGAACTCCCCAGCTCATTACCACTAAGCTCAAGTTGTAAACGCCAGGCATATTTACAACAGCTGCTTTCCCCCGGCTTTTAGAGCAGGTTGATTTGACAGGACTAACACCTCAGAAGAAATATGGCTCCATGATGTCAGGAGTCCAGTGTTGCCCTTTGGCACTCTATTTGCTGTCACTACTGTCTATTTCACCAAATTAATGCTATAGGCAGTCTGTGATTAGGTCCGAACTGACAAAACAATTGTTATTATATATTTATTAATTCACTTGAAATAAAATAAAAAAAACAGAAAATACAAATTCAGTTCTCTGTGATGTTTCAAAACATCATCTCCAGACAAAGTGGAATGTGTTTCACACTGATTTAGCGCTTGAAAGCGGACCCCACGTTCGCGTCGGTCCGTGTGCATGTGTGTGTGTTTTTGTGAGTATGTGTGTGTGTGTACAGTATGTATGTGTGTGCACCCCTCCTACTCCTACCCTCACTCCGCTCTCTGGAAGCCACAGTTTTATATTAAGCGTTGAAGCGCTCGGATCGGCTGCCCGCGAAGGAGAGACGCACCGGCACCCACGAGGCGCAAACTCACCGTCCCACAATGACCGTGGAGAGGATATTCGACGAGATCGGACATTTCAAACGGTATCACTTCAAACAGAGTTGGCATGGTTCATTGCGGGGTGCTTTGCGTATCTTCAACAGTGGATTTGGAATAGTAACTTCTCAACGTCTCAAAGTTATTTTTAATTCCATGTTACAAATGCGTTTTTGAAAACAAACACTAATAGATGCACATTAAAAAAGAGCCCAACCACTTCGCATGATGTTTAGTACAATGCTTTTGGATCATTTTGAAAACATATTGTACCACATCTAAATGATTAGTGAGGGGCGAGTCTTCACCTCAGAGGAACTTGTGTGTGTTTTTGAAGAAATAACCCTACTTTTCTGACTCTGATTGGAACTGTATATTTATCTTTTGTTTATTGCATGACAAGTTAAAATGCTAAATGTAATGCCTGAATGTAACTTTTTAGAAGCTGTTCCAGTTTGTCCCTAAGCAAAAAAAGTGCTGAATTAATGTTGCTTCTTTATTACTTACGTTTTCACACAAATCACAAGCCACTATTAGTATATATGTTTCAATATGCAGTGTGTCCTTTTGTATCAAATGATTTGGTCTGTCTAACTTAAATCCTATGCAGTATGTAAAGTTGGCTTATTTTGAATGCGCAACAACACTGTATATATTGTTAATGCACTTGAGCAAAGCTTAATATTAGTTAGAGTTGTTAAGATGACCTTTTTGCTGTTATCTGTTCAATGGGAGGGCTAAAAGATTGCATGCAACTCTCTCATCATCTCTTATACATCTCTGTTGTCAACACATCTTAATACATTTAATTTCTCTCCAGATTTCAGGCATGTCTGTACTTCGCAGCAGTCTTCCAGGTGATAGCCTGTGGGATCCACTACCTGGCCTCTGTATTCTTAGTGCAGACGCCAAACTTTGTGTGTGGGGGGCCAGGCAACATCACTGAGGTCCTATATGGTAACCTGACAGCGTCTAGCCTGGAGGACATCCTACCAATCTTCAAGGCAGGGACTGGGCCCTTGGTAGTGACGACGGGTGGGGGGGAGCAGTGGCAGCTCAGCCGGTGCCACAGCGCCACGCGCATCAACCCACGACCCTTTACAGACACCTTATATACCAACAAAACAGTGAAAGCCTGCGAAGGGACCTTTGTCTACGACCTCACTGAAGTTCACCAAAGCATCGTGACGGACTGGGACTTGGTGTGTGAGAAGGAGTGGCTAGCTAAGCTGTGCCAGCCTACTTTCATGCTGGGGGTGCTGATCGGAGCGTTGGTGTTTGGGGATCTTGCTGACAGGTGAGCAGGGCTGCAGGAAGGAGGAAAAAGGGGAGGGTACTTTTTGCAGAGCGAGAATCCACACAGTAAATGATGTCATATGAGACACATGAAGATTCACCTGTACAGCTGTTATTCTCCCATGTGATTGTAAACAAGAGCACATGTTCAGGTAGTGCAAGCTGTGGCTGAGAGAGCCTGCCTTTATAATACTCTACACATGTAGTCATAAGTTCAGGAGACATCTTTGTACTTAAACATGATACTGTCATCTCAGTGGTGTTTATGTGACTGCAGGACAGAGTTGCTTTCGAGCATGTATAGGCATGAATCATACTAGGCATGAATCATGTAGGAGAGGGATAGGAGAGCGATAATCTGGTTGGTGTGGATGATGGGATGAGGAAAAACAAACAGAAAGGAACAAGTAAGACAGGGAAACAATAGGCACACTTTGGACTGATCAGGTGATCCAGCCAAACAGCTCAGTCACAACTGAAGTGATCAACATTTAGAAGAAGTACTTTGGTCTGATACAGTCAGTCGAGTGTAAACTTGCTCTGATGTTTGCTAGCCTTCTCCTAAGTGGTTAACATGAGTTTGTTAATCATCATCCCACCACACTGTATTTTGTCTTGTGTTTTTATCTGGGGTCTAATCCACCATGACTATCGGGTGAATGCTTTAATGGGCTGAGCATCACATTGTAAAGTCAGGTTTTGCTTGAAGTGCTGGAGAATCTCTTCCATGTTGAATGCAAAATGCGATCGGATGTTTATGTTATAACCTATATATACAGTAAACACTGTATTTTACCCTGCAGACACAGCTGGAGAATATTGGTGTTCAATATTGTACAGGTAGAATTAAGGCAAATCTCTAAGGTGTGACGCAAAGGGTTTGCCCCAAAATGCTGCAGGTAATATTATGACTTGTGTACAAGTTGCTAATAGGGCTGGCTTTGACTGAAGACAATTCTTAGCTGTCTCAAACTCAAACTATTTAGTTGATTAATTGATTAGTTGACTTAATATACAGATCTATAAAACTGAGTTACTCCACAAAGAATCCCTTAAAAGCACCATAACCCTGTTTGAATGCATTGCTCATCTGTTTGTAACTTAGGTGAGCTCAATTACTCTATCTACCTGTCTCTCTTTCACCCTCTCTCTCCTCCAGAATTGGTCGCGTGAAGATCATGATGTTCACCAGCCTGTGTCAGTTTGTCCTCGGGGTTTCTGTAGCATTCTCTGGAAACTATTATATCTTTGTGGTGCTCCGCTTTCTTCTTGCAATGGTAAGTTTGGGTTGAGTTGGTAAGGGGCTTTCTACTCTCTGTTTGTAATAACTGCTTCTTAAAGGGCCCATGTCATGGCCATTTCTACTGATCATAATTCCATTGTTGAGGTATACTAAAATAGATTTATACTGTGCAATTTTCCAAACTCACATTGGTTTCTCATACAGCATCTCTGTAAAGTATGTGTATTCACCGGTATTCACTCTCTGTCCTAAACGGCTTGTTGGAGCTCCTGCCCCCACCTCCCTGTGAGCCCAGTGTGCTCCGATTGGTCAGCTCGGCCACTCTGTTCTGAATAGTCAACCACCAGAGAGGCTCCGCCCATGTCTAACACAGTGCTTTTTTCGGCTCTGAGCGGAACATCAACAATGTTTCCTGATCTGGCTGGACGAAATCAAATGCAAATCACAAAATATTAGAGAAGCTTAGTTGTTTTAGGTTCGTTAGCTTACCAGCTATATTAATATGCTAATCTACGTTTGCTAGTTGTTCAGTGTAATATGTCAACCTACTATGAACAACAGCTAGTGGTTCATATTAGGCTAGCAAGAACATGTTTACAATTGCAATCTTATACGGGTAGTCTGCTACGTTCGGTCATTCATTGTAGCTGGCATAAAAACAATGTTTTCCCTAGCAAACTCATGTCTAGCTCTTGGTAGCCTTCTTTTTTAGCTCGGTAGCATACACGCTAGGAACGCCAACTATAATAGTAATTAAGTTTCGCGACTGAGTATTTCGTGTGTGAATGCAGACATTCTCCTACTATGAGATACATGTAAGGCCATCTGCTGACATTGGAGTTGATATATGGAAACGCTAGCAACTTAGTTAGCCTAGTTAGCACTGTGTCAATGGCTTAGCAGCCCGAAAAACGTTTACCCATTTAAACAGTCGTGGTAAATACCTTGTTTGTTTTAAACATCATAAATACACAAACAACAATGAATACTTACAGGTTGTGTACCCGAATCTCCCGCTGGTCCAAACAAAGTAGGAACAGCATCGTTCTTCAGTGCCCTACGCTGTACATATCTGGCATGAATCGCTGAAAGGTTTGTGAAGCTTTGTTTTTCGTGAAATGCTGGCAGAGGGTGTGGCCTCTGGGTATTCACACGTCACAGTACCCAGGAAGTAAACAATGGAAAATGAGAAATCTCCAACGAGGCGTTTTGGTGCAGCATCTATACTGTGTTAGTGTTACTCGCTACAGGGTGTACATTGAGGGTTTTTGACTCTGCAGACCGTTGACATGCATAAAAACCTTCATAACACACAAGGGGACGGGTAATAACCGGAAAAGCATGACATGGGCCCTTTAAGGTTTATCATCCGTCTTTTTTTTCCTACAAAACTATCTTTAGCTAATAGCTTATGTTCTCTATGAATGCCACGTCCTGTTAGTCACATTGCCACCAAGCCAACATGCAGACCACAGCATGTTTCTTCCAGCTGTGTGTATTAAGAACATATTCACATAGCTCTGAGAGAAAAACATTTAAGCTCATATAAAACAAGACAATGCAAGAAATGTGCAGACTTTAATTTCTCCCATTTTTTATAATCAAGAACATATGCCAATGTAATGACCTGTTAATGTTATGAGTTGAGTTGATGTTCTTCTAAATAGTTAAAAGTGAAAAATCTGATTTAATCTTACAAATCAAATCAGGTCCGGTACTGGTAAAAGTCAGCTGCAACAGTCAAGTAAACTGATCCACCCTGTTGAACATAAACTATTATAAGGAATCTAGAAGGGGAGAAATAGTTGTAGAGCCAGAAAGTAAGAGTGTGTTTGTAAGTTAAAACTGTGCAGAATGTTGTTTTTGTGTGCATAAAACAACATGTTTACAAGGCCAAGGGAGGGAGTCATTACGGTTAGTCCACATGGCAGGGAATTTGTGCTGAAAGAGCCCTTACAGTTCAAAGTTTCTCTCCTCTTCTTCTACCATCCCCCTCCCATTCCTACCCAGCTACAGCTGTTGTTTTTCACATAGAGACAGACACAGATAGGCTTATGCTGCAGAGCCACTCCAAACACAGCGCAGACACAGTTTATTAAAAAGGGACTTAACACCTGATTACTGCCATATGCATCACGTTGAAATAAAAAAAACTAATGTTAGAAGTTCTGACAAAGAAAACAAGGGTTCAATGTTACATGAAACGTTGTATATATAGCAACATACCATAAATTAGAAATGAAGTAAGCTAGTGCTTACACATAACAACCAGAAATTGTGACACTCCGTGGTTAATACAATACAAACAATGTGTTCAAAATAAAACTTCAAATAAAACTAATTAAACAATTGGTATATGTATTTTATTTGTAATAAATAACCACTCAGGAGTCTGTATATCAACAGAAAATTATTTTGATCTCCTCTCTTTCTTCCACCTTTTCTCAATTTTATCTTCCAATCCTCCTTCCCCTTCCCTCTTTTTATCCGTGTACCTACTTTCCTCTTTCCCATCTTTGCGTTTGGCAGGTGTCCAGCGGCTACCTCGTGGTGGTGTTTGTCTACGTCACTGAGTTCACTGGCATTAAGGTACGCACATGGACCTCTATGCACGTGCACGCAGTCTTTGCTGTGGGCATCATGGTGGTGGCCCTGACCGGCTACCTGGTGCGGGTCTGGTGGATCTACCAGATCATCCTCTCCACCTACACCTCGCCTTTCCTGCTCATCTGCTGGAAGTTTCCTGAAACACCCTTTTACTTGATGGCCAAGGGCCGTTACAAGGACGCCCAGGCTCTGCTGGACAGGATGGCCCGCTTCAACGGCCTCGAATGCAGGCTGAAGGTGGAGGACCTGTTGGAGCCGGAGGAGAGAGAGAACAGCACAGCTCTGCTGGGGCAGGAGGAGGAGGAGGAGGAGCGGCCAGCACCGTCTGAGAAGAAGCTGTCCATCCTGTCTCTGTTCGGCAGCTGGAGGATGGCGGGCCGTACGTGCACAGTGTGGTCCATCTGGTTCATCGGCAGCCTGGGCTACTATGTCTTCTCTTTGGGCTCTGTCAACTTAGGAGGAAACCAGTACATGAACCTCTTCCTAGCTGGTAAGTGATTGGCTGATGAGTGTGAATATGCATGAACAATATATACTTAAAAACTTATGTCAGTGTGGGTTTGAAATGAGGCTGTTTACAAAGTAAACTGTTCTGATTTTAGAAACACATTCAAATGAGCCTGTAAGCAATTAAATAACAGAATAACAACATCTTCAAGCTTAATACTGTAGCTTCCCTGTGTCTTTGCCATCTGATTAAGAAAATAAGATTTTTTTTTATAAACACCAAAACGGATGCACTTTTCATGCAATGCAATTTCCCTCCTACTGATTTATTGTACTTCCTTTACACGCAAACATTTATATTCCTCACCTATGTCATGTGGGGACATCCGGCTGAGACTAAGCGTCACTAACCTTGCAGATGCAGGTTATTTGGGTCCCCTAGATCAGTGGTTCTCAACCTTTTTACACCAAGTACCACCTGAGAAAATAGTTGGCTCTCCAAGTACCACCATATGACCAATGTTAAAGTACAGTCTATGCACAGTTCATGCAGGACTCGGAGGCAAATGTATTCATAATAACATTATTCATTGTCAGCCACAGCTACATGTACAAAGGGCAGTTTCTCTCTCTCTCTCTCTCTCTCTCTCTCTCTCTCTCTCTCTCTCTCTCTCTCTCTCTCTCTCTCTCTCTCTCTCTCTCTCTCTCTCTCACTCATCACTCACTCACACACGACAAGCGAGAATATAAAGGACTAAATAATAACTTATTCTCACACAACAAATGACAACTGTACATACATGTCATTTCCTATACCAAAGTTTGAATGTAGGCCTCCTGCAACAACCTACATTGTAACAGAAAATGTCCTCTTGGGAATTCAGTTCCACAATAATAATGAAAGCCTCCAGGAGCAGATGAGCCTAATAGCTCATCTTCAGTCTGCTGATGTTTGCTATTGCCATTTCTGTGGTGGCAAAGTAAAAAAGATAACAATTAAGGACAAGTGTGTGTGCTTTTTCAGCTTTTGACCTCGGTCACAGCCTTCTCTCCATTCTTTGTGCAAATGCCTTCTTCCTGGGTCACTTCTCTCCTCCATCACAGCGTTGTGACTGCATATCACTTTTGCGTTGCTGGCGGAGCCTGCGCTTGTGCTCGGTTGATGACTGTCCTCCTCCTCATTCACTTGTTCACTTTCCCTGGTAATATTCTCCTCTGTACCTCTCTCACAGCATCTTTCAGCTTTCTTCTTTCTTTAGCTTGCTTGCAACGTTTGCTAATCGTTCGCGGGTAGTATGGTCATCATTAGCAACGCCAGAATTTCTTTTTGTCAAATCGTTGGAGTATTTTGATAGTATGATTTATTTTTTAATTAATCTTATTCAATCAAGCCTCAAACTGATGGCACTTGTCCCTATAGCCTGTTTTAAATTGAAGTTGTATGAGGTCCTTACCACCAGCTGCTCTTGCAGTAATAAGTAGTGTACCTTACTGTCCCAAATGTGCACAATGTAGTGACTGCTTTTCGTCTTTTTGTTTACTTAGTTGTGTTTTCTGTATTTTATATGTCTGTGTTATGTGTAAGAACGTGTAACGTTGCTGCCTTCTTGGCCAGGTCAGCATTGTAAATGAGATTTGGTCTCAATGTTTTCATCTGGTTAAAAAGAAAAAAATTATTATTATTATTATTATTTTTGTATATGTCAGATTCTTCCGCGTACCACTAGCGGTACCACAGTTTGAGAACCACTGCCCTAGATAGAGTTTACCTTGTCAGTGTGTCAGTGCCACTATAACCTCTCACTGACAGCTGCCGGGTCTTTCCAGGTGCAGTGGAGGTCCCCTCTTATCTGGTTGGCTGTTTTGCAATGGATCGGATTGGCAGGAAGAAGACGTGCGCCCCAGCTCTGCTCCTGGCCGGCGTCGCCTGTATGCTCATCATTGTGGTACCTGCTGTACGTACTGAGAGTGTGTAAGAGAGTGAGACATTAAAGTGTGGGTATTCTTTAATCTTAGACTATGATAATCATGTTAATTAGATGCATAATGAACACTTTTATTTCTTTCTAACTCTAAAACTACTATAAACACCATTTTTAGTGTCTCCAAAACAAACATCATAATAACTGCAACAGAATTCAATTCTGTTGACCCCAAATGTTAAGGAAATTTGCAGCACAAATCATTGTCATTTTCAATGCAAAAACATTACCATTCAAGGAAAGCCAGAAACATGTTATATATGACATCTGGCTATGTCAAAGTATTTTCACTTTCAACTTGTGTGTACCCTCAGCTCTTGGGATTACCATCACATGACCCCAGGCCGTGAACCTCTGTTGAACCCTGATATACGACACAAGCAGTTCCCAGTATCTGTTCTCTGAGCACTGGCCCAATTTAGTGCTCCTCCTGGTTGGGTTGACAGCTGTTGCGTAATGTCCAAGTTAATATGCCCTTACATTGAAAGCCATTACAAACAGATCGGTCAGCATGCCTGAGAGGAAAAATAGCAGCATGGAGACAGAGGACAGAGAGTCATCTATCTAGCTTTTTTCTACTTTTCCTCTCTGCTGATGTCAATGTGCAGATCTACATACGCCTCACATACCAGAGGGCATGGAACCTAATTTAGTATAACTAACTATTACTGTTTGAGCAGAGTTTCACAGTGGACTGAAACATTCAAATGACTTGAGGATGTCTCAGTGTCAGGAGCATCATACAACAGATTCTTGCTTTCTGTTTTCATCCAATGAGCCAAGTTCACAACCATCCAGGTCAAGGGTTAGGAATAGCTTGGCAGTCTTTATTATTTTGAGAAGGAGAGCATATCTTCCCTTTATTCCCTCTTGTGTACACTTTCTCAGCCATTGGTGTGTATGTTCTCATACTTTCTGACCCCTTTATTTTCACCAAACTTGGCATTAGTCGCACTCTTTGTATACAATCTGTAATTCCTTACAAGAGGCACACTTCTTTTCTGGGTCAGATTTTCTATCCATTCTTGTTTTTGAGAAGTTTCTGACGATTTGTAAGGCGATCCTTGCAGTCAAAACCTCATTTGGTCTCAGGAAATACTCAACAGTCTCCCTTTTTATGGTTCCTACACTGAGTGCTCTTGCTCCTGAATGCTGTGTTTGTCCATATTGCTACACTTACAGAAAGTTACAGTAATAGCCCTCACAGACCCTTACCCCTGGCTGTGTATTATGTCCAAATTTAACTTAGGGTTTTCTAAGCACTACACTCGATTTTCTTCAATATCTTTTGACACACATAATATGATAATGACCATGCAAATATACCATACTACTGACGGCTTTACACAAACAATGTTAGAAACATTAATTATTGCAAAATACTAAACAACACATTCATTCAAAACCAGTACACCTATGGTGGATTAAGACCAACAGTTGATTAAAAGCTTATTTGGAGAAAATAGCTTCACACAGCCTCCCTCTTCTCTCTGTGTAACTTTAGAGTAGTCAGTTCTGGCCATATATGTGTTGTTGTCTGGCTCTGTTACATCATAGCAACAGCCAAGTTAAAGTTCTCCAGGTTTTTTTGTTTTCCACATTTAGTACAATATCATTTAAAGGTGTGAATGCCAGAGATCTTTATTTTTTAAATACAATTTTCTTTCTTTTCCCCTTTTATTATATTATACAGCTGAAAGTAGATTGGAAAGGGGGAGAACGGCCATCTCCCTCTCCAATTCCATTAAGGGTGTGCACATTGAGATAAACAATATAAACACAGGCCTACATGTATTACAAATATATAGTTTATGTGGTTTCTAATGCAGCAAAGTATAATAATGGAGTTAAAAGTATCTAATGGAGCAATCATTCCTTCAGTTTATTGGATCACTTGTGAGAAACTATGATAAGATTCGGTGAGGTTGATCTTCAGTTCATGGAGTGCTCGTGTGATCGTCTGTGCTGTTGTTTACAGCTCTATTAGGGCAGTCAGGGGTATAATGAAAGTTCTGAAGGTCAAAGGGCTTGTGTTTTATTTTTGACATCTTTAACCCCCCCCCCCTTCCTTTTCCACAGGATATTGATGCACTGGCCATCGCTCTGTGTATGATAGGGAAGTTTGCCATTGCAATCGCCTTTGGTCTCATCTACCTATACACCTGTGAGCTTTACCCAACCATTATCAGGTCAGTTCAAACAGGGGGGTTTAAAAATGCTTATCAACGTATTTTTGTTAAGATTCTTCGTAGATGTTTTTACATTTTTATTAGTAACCTCATTCCACAGAATATTGTTCATAAGACTTGAGTCTTGTTCAAACTGATGGTGTTAGTCCTCATGTATACCCTGACGTCACTGAATCTGTCTTCTCTAATGTTGCTGACTGTGCATGGTCTCCCTCTAGGTCTCTGGCAGTGGGTAGTGGCAGTATGATATGCCGTGTTGGCAGTGTGGTGGCCCCCTTCTGCGTGTATCTGGCTGATTACTGGATCTACCTACCTCAGGTATACATGTTCTCCTTTCAATGGCTCAACAACAACAGATATTATTTTATGTTAAATGTCCTTGTCCATTCTGTCCTATTTAAAACCATGTTTCCATTATGCATAATTTAGCTACACAAGTATCCTGCCAACAAAGAATATTTTAACAAATGAGTTCTTTACTAAATTCATATTGACCCCTGTGTAGCTCATCGTGGGAATCCTGGCGTTCATTATTGGAGTGATGATGTTGTTGTTGCCTGAGACCCTTGGCAGACCTCTCACAACCACTTTGGAAGAGGCTGAAGCTCTGGGAAGAGAGCCCATCAAGAAGAACTTGGGGCATAAAGATGCTGGGGACGGGTTGGAGATGAACCAACATGAAGCCAAGGCCTGAGTTGTACACTGCTGGAATCCAAGAGAGACTGACGTACAAAGAAGCTTTGGGGGACAAAAATAAAGGAAAAAAGAGAGGAAATGGTGCCTGCAAAAAGTGGAAAGAGTAACATCATTGATTTTGCTTTTATAAGAACTTGAAAGGCCATGTTTGTTGGCATTTTTTCTTCAAAGTGACCAACAGAACATTTCCTTTGGGGTCCTAAGACATTGCACAAACCCTTTTGTGTTCATACAGATCACAGTAACAACCACCAACAGATCTGTGAAACCACAGTAGTCCATGAGTTTATTGAAGATAATGAAAAGGAAATGATTTGCTGTGTTTGTTTGTGTGTGTGTGTGTGTGTGTGTGTGTGTGTGTGTGTGGTTGGGTGTTTCCGAGACGGGGAATAACTGAAGGATATTAATTAATAATTTCAGTTGAAGGCAATTTCAGTTTTAATTTTGTTGTTTTGTTATTTTTTTATTATTTTTCCAAAATGCAGACTTTCAATAGGTCCAAGTTGAACAAGGAAACCGATGGATGTTTACGATGGAAAGCTTGAGAGATATAATTTTACTGTTTGCAAATGTAAATGATGTTTATCATATTAGTTTGGCTAGCTTGTCAGATGGTCAGAAATGCAAAAATAACACCCATATTGTAGAAAACTGAAATAATCTTTTACAAAAGGAAGTGGGCATGAGTTTATGCTCTGTGATTTAGATACCTGCCTAACTGTTATCATACATGTAGAACATTTCTGTGCCTGTCTTGAAGCTATAGTATTAAAGCACACAGATTCCATTTTATTCTAAACACACAATGCAATTAATCTAATTTCCATGACACACACAATATCATGTTTTATTCTAAAACAAGTGCCTTATTTTTTGTTTCATATCAAACTAGTGTGGGAAAACAATAAATCATGAAGAGTTTAACAATCAACAGTTTTCTTGATTTGTAAATGAAGAGTTTGTTTGCTTCATTTCATTATAGATGAATAAATATTCTTCTTCACTACACTGCACTTTTCAATCTGTGTTGTTCATATTTATCTGCTGCAAAACTATACATCGACAACGTTTAGTTAGAGGAAATAATATTTTGACAAATTACCTAATAACCATGGCAAGTTAGAACATCTTATTTTTTCCTTATTTCTTCTTCTTTGTCTTCTCTGTCGGTTAAAAGTTCATATTGGTGCTGGAAATGCAGGGAATCATTTTTTTTCAAACAAGAACATAGAGCAAGTCTCTAAAAAAAGCCACCTCCACTAACAGCTTCCTATTTGCCTTCCCCACGGCACCACCCAACTCATGAACTAACCCTCTGTTCAACTTTGAAATAGAAAACTATGCAGATCCACAACGGTGTACAATACTGTATGTGTCTGTGTATATGTGTACATGGAAAAGCTAGGGTTGTGCACTTTACTTTGTATGTCGGAAATAAATTCATAGTCGAAAAAAAAGTCATATGTTGAAAAATTTGAAAGAAAGTCATAGTATAGTATATCGAAACATTTGAAAAAAAAGTAACAGTACAGTATGCCAAACAATTAGTAATAGTATAGTATGTTGAAAAAAAATGTAATAGTATAGCATGTCGAAAGAAAAGTCATAATATAGTAAAAGAAACAAGTGGACAATAGTTTGGATGCCGCTCTTTCAGTAGATGTCTATCAAGCCGATGTGTATATCAGTATCGGAGGTTTATGGAAGGTTGAGGATGAGATACGTTGCAGCATTCCTGATCCGGTGAAGAGGCCATCACAAACTTCTTCATACAAAGTAGTAAAGTAAGTAAGTAAGTAAGTAAAGTGTAGACACTAGCTGCAATAGTTAGAAGACATTTATTTTGAAGACTGTAAAATAATGAACTGCATTAGTTGTTAACAAGTTTTCAGCTGTTGATATGAAAACCTTAAAAAATTAAAAAATAGTTTCAGAGCCGCCAGAAACCAAGGATACAAATGATCAAGTTATTAAACATATTTTTTCCTTCCTGAGAATCTTGTCTGGAACGCAAAGGAATACAAAATAATAAATTAAACTGGCAAAAAAGGAAACACTGAAGACAAACCAGGACAATGAAAAGGTACAGACAATGGAGATTTGGATGGAATAGTGAACTACGTAGATGACTGAAACATAATAGCTTATGGCAACTGTTCTCTGGATGATTGGTACATCATGCACTCTAGATAGCTGCTGGAGGATTACACGTTTTAGAGAGACAACAACCCTTAAACAGCAATGATCCAATTTGAAATGAAAGGCAAATTAGTATCCAGTATTGTGACCAATCCGCTCATTATGCTGCAGAATTTCACCTCAGACAAAGTACAGTATATTCATACAGTTTAGTAATGCATCGCAGTAGAAACACTGATATTTGGCAAACTCAATCTTTAAAACTTTGGATTAAAAACACTGCGCTCCATAAATGCTTTTTAGTGTTTATCTCTGAAACAAACGCCTGTCCCGAATAATAAATCTATGCTAAAATACACTGCTGGTTGGTCAAACTCAATCATTCATGCACACACAGTTGAATTCTTTGAATTCATAATTGAGTGCTTACTTTCTAACCCTCATTTATACCTAATAATATCTTACAAATTGAATTTTTTGTTATTAACCAATACTATATCAACTGACTTATGTCACAACAGCTGTGCACAAAGGTTTCCTGTCAGTTATTGGAACTCTTAGCGAGGTTTGGCACTTACAACAGTCCGAGACAACTAATATACATAAAAGGGTTTTGGTACTATTTTATTCGTGGATCCCATTTCTCATTCCAGCTGTTAGGACACACACCTTTTAAAAAAGCATGAACCTCTTTTTTAGGCTATGTCTCGGAAGTACTTTCTTACAGTAAACCAACACTAAGAATATTTCCCAACACATTTAGCCCTTCACATCTTCAAATAATCTCTCCTGGAGATTACAGCAATGATGTCTTCTCTTTTTAACCATAAAAGGGCTCAAAAACAAGCTCAAGTTCAAACAAAACTTGAGTCAAGCAAATTGAGCTAAACAATTGTTCTCACTGTCCAACTTTTAAATAGAGCATGTTGTCCTTCCAATTACTCAACCCTATAGTCCTCAGTGCTGAGCCTGTTATGAAAGGAGTCTATTGCCAATGGAAAGCAGAGCCCGTAAAAACACGAGCGTCAGAATCCATACACCCCTAAACATACATCACTTTTCTTAGGAATGCTGAAGGACGGGAATGCCCCCTTAGCCCTCAGGCTGCCTCCAGCTATCTCCAGCCAAATAGCTTCTTTTGGCTACGTCCACTGTTCGCCACACCGCTCTTAGGGATGGACCAGCCAGCTGTTGGCATCCTCCAGGTCTGTGTCGAATTCCTCGTCTTCATCCAGAGGCTCCGGGGTTCGAAGGGCCAGCTCTCGGAGGAAAGAGGGTGAGTGGGCAGGGGGCTGGGAGACGGACTTGAGGCCGATCTTTTTCTTCATAAGATGGAACTGGTCTCGGATGAAGTTGTAGAACTCATACTCGTAGCGCATGCGGTGGTAGAGCACCTGCAGCGCCTCCAGAGTGGGCGTGTGTTTACGTACTGTGCCTGTCATATTCCCCATCTTCTTATAGTCTGCAGAAAGAAGAAGAAGTAAAGAACCAGAAGAAGTCAGGTTAATGCAATTTGACAGCAATACAGTCAAAGAAAAGGAATACCAAAATCATGATTTAAAAAGAGATCAATGTGCAAAACCTCAATTTTTAAAGGCAACAACAGTGTAGGAGCCAAAATGCTGTGGTAGCCTGTGTTTAGTTATATTATCTTCCTTATTTGTTAACACCACACACACTTGTCTCCATTATTTATTTATTTTTAAACAATATATTTACACCACACACACTTGTAATAGGTTGTTTCCGGTAATTGTCACATGGGTGTGGTTAATGGTATTTAGGGCACCTGGTGTATGTGGATGTTTAGTAGCATGACAATGGGGATGAGCTTAGCTCTGATATCTTTTGTTGACCGTATGATTCTGTTTGTTTATTGTTTTGATTTACAATATTAAATATCCTTAAAACGTTGAGTTCAGTACAGACTTTATTATTTATACGGGTCACATCAATGAGCGAAGTTTAGCCTCAGAGCGGCCGTATTATGGGAATATAGCCGCCACAAACAGGTACCAATATGATACATCAACATATGTTTTTTGATTGTGTCCTACCAGGGCTCTTGTAGATGCTGAGCACTCCAGTAAAGTAATGAGGTAAGAGCCTCTCCAACAGGAGCAGAACATCCTCCAGCTCCTCCAGGATACCAACAAGCAGGTAGTTCTCCTGCACATTCTGTTTGGCCCTCTCCAGAGCCCATACCCCCGGCTCCCTGGTGGAGAGAGAGGAAAAATCACGAGTAAGAGACAGACAAACAAGTACAATAACAGAGCAGATTTACATGCCACGTTTAATAACATGTCCTCCATATTAAGAGTCTGTAGATACCTGCATTGAGGATGCTGTCCACAGAAGTATGGAATAATGTAGAAGACTCTGGGATTAGAGCACTCTGGGTAATTCTCTAGAATGCACACATTGATATCCTGAAAGCAGACAAACACATGACAATCATCATTTTACATTATGTTTCATTTAACTTACACTTTGATCTAAAGTGACTTAGAGTGCAATAAACCACAAAGATACATGCAGCTACATTTGCTTTAAAGAGGCCAAACCACTGTAAGTGCTGGTGCATTAGATTCAAGTGAGCTAAACCCTTAAGCACTATATGTTGTCAGTTAGGTTTAATGGCCTAGGCGCAGGCAAAACAGTACTTATTTCTTCATAGTTTGCCGAGGTGCAGGCGTAGAAGAATCTTAAACATATTTGTAGTGTTATATTTTTGCCACTAGAGGGAGCCCATCACCAGCACTGCTGTGAATCCGCTGATAGTGATCGTCATAGAAGTGCTGCAAAACCACATCCTGAGATCAAAGATAAACTCTGCTCCTTCACCCTAGCTGCTCAGATTAGAACACATATAGTTGAGCATGAAAGAGTGCTCGCTTTAAAAATAAATATATGTTAATGAAATATAAGCAATATAGAATCAGATAGTAATGATAGTCTGTTTTTATGTTGTAATCAAGCAATGATGAACTTAAACCTGTCACTAATAAGGTTAGATCACAGTTGGGACATTTAGAACACCCCTTTGTCTAAATGTGGTAGCTATTAAATAATGAGGGGGGAAAACACAGAGGACAGATTAAAAACACACATGCAGGAGTGGAGCAGGCCAGCCACTCAGTTCTATGGAACTAGAAGTCAAATCCGTGTCAGGTGACGTAAGCTTTATGGATGGCAACAGGTCCCAAGCAACAAAACACTCCACGAAGCATGACTCACACACGCACGCACACGCACACGCGGACATGCCACATGTGTTCTCAAACGCACATGCGGTAGCACCAGGCTATATGCATGAGGCAAAGAGTGTTGACAGGTAGAGAAAAAGAGGATGGGATCTACAGTAAACGTGGACACATATTTAAAGCGTAGAGATTTTGTCAAAGCTTGTCTACACTCTGATAAGTCTGAAACTGCGTATTTAACTGCCAACACGGAGACCAAAATGCTCCATCACAGAGAAGAAGTTGGGTCAGACGGGACCGGAGGCCCAGACTTTCCCAGAGTTCTCTGTCTGCTGTTAAGGGTGAGATGTGAGGGTCAAAAACACCCCACTGACCATCATGTGTGTATGAGCTTAACAGTTAGACAAGGTAAAAGATAGCCTTGTGATTTCTCTTATCACTCTCAATCTCATCATTCTCTCAGCTTCCAAAGAGGTAGTGATGACAGGAAGAGCAAGAAAAAGTCTATCTACATAAACTGGGATGACATAAATTATGCACTTGGTCAGTTTATTTTTCCTTGCAGCTCAATGCAGTGCTGCATAGTGTGTGATTCACCGAGTGGCTGCAGGGTTTGTTTCAAACTTTATGACTGAGCTGCACAATGCACCAGGAACATGACTTATTGTGGAGCGAACCACTGGAAGCTCACCAAAGAACAACACATCCAAGAGGAACCTTTAGAAAACAGTTCAAACGTGCACTATTGTTAGAGTGTGGGCTGTTTCCGGACTTGTGAAATCTTTTGCTTGCTTTTCTTTGATTCATAACTTCAAGGAGAATTTGTTGCCTTTTTCATGTTTTATTATTCAAAGAACGACAGTGTCATCATGTGTTATCAATTATGAGTATATCTCCTTGCCTTGACAGTTTCCTATCAGTGATGAGTGTTACAGTTTCTCAATACTATATAACTTGTGTGGGAAACTATAAACCCCATGCAGAGATTTCAAAAGAAAAGTTACAGTTGATGCAAGAACTAACTTGAACTCATATGCAACACTGTTATATTTTACACACACTCGCCACGCCATGCCAATAAAAATATAATGGGACTCTATACAGGCCCCCCCAACACTTGGCTGTAATGCAACAAAGCACAA